GGCACCGAAGTTGTTGCATTGTAAAATGTGTGGGAAGCATTTACAACTAAAAGCAAAAGAACAATTCCAACTTAAAATGATAATAATGGAGAGAGGGATTCTATGACAACAACAATGGGGCAGCAACTCGACAAGGAAGCTATACAGAAGCGAGGTATAACAGTAGTTATAAGCCAATGTAATACCAAGATGTACATTTCATGTTACACCTTATCACCGACTTCCTTTAAGTTTCAGTCCGAGTTCACTTAGCGACTCAGCTACAGATTGGCTTTCATTCTTTCGCATGAAACCATTATCGATATGAACGGCTATGACTTGTGAATTGTCTAATGCTTTGTGTAATAATGCTGCACAGACAGTGGAATCAACACCTCCACTCACTAACGCCTGAAAACAAAACATGAGATCTGTAAAAAATACTAAACCAATGTTTTCCTCAACTAATACTACATATACTGTATTAATCTCAATGTGCCTTATAAAATAATATAGCACGAATTGTAAAAAAAAGTTCCTAAATAATAGTGTATTAATATATTTAGGCAAAATAAAGTACTAGCCTAGCGGGAAACCTCTACACTTGTCACTTTTTTTTATTTATACTCATAACCATGAGAGTTTACTACACTTTGAGAGCTTATCACTAACATCTGGTTCTCAGCATTATACAAACATTTTTATTCTGCAGACTACATCTAAAAATGTTTTATTTCAGTCAAAATTTACACCATATCTTAGAATTTACACTTTCTAGTTATACCAAAATTGAAACTGGTTGACATTTCATTGTGACTGATGAGTTCCCAAAATTTGAAGATGACCAGACAAAAATTATTTGATTTATTGTAAACACAACAAAAAAAAATTTTTAAGTGAACTTTAAAAAATAACTTGGAAAATATACAGAAAACATGTACCATAATCAAACAAAATCCCAAACTACTGTAAAACCATTTAATTTACACTATTTTGATGTTTTGAGCAATATTAAAGTACGGTGAATGCATTAATTATTCACTGGGTTTTAATTTCACAAATTTGTCAAAGAAACCTAGAGTTTTACTGTTATTTTACATGTTCACGTTCATTTAATTTAGCGAATTTTACTTATCAGCGAAAATAGCGTAATTAAAACACAGTGAATAATTAACGCATTCACCGTACTTTAATATTTTATCCAAGTTTGAAAGAAATTTGATAAAAACTGTTGACAACTATGACAATAACAACAAGGACAGACATTTTCCCTCCATATACCTACCTAGCCTTTTATCCATGATGAATTGGCAAGGTTATCAAATTTACAGTGACAGGGGAATATTTCATTGCTGAATACAATTTGAAGTTGTTTTGTATGAACTTTGAACAAAATTGATCAAGAGATATACACTGTATGAGACGTCAAACAGAAACCAAAACACAACAAAAGTTGTTATGGACTACCGGAGTATATTTGACCTATAACCTTTTCACCTTTTCAGACTTTCTCGCCCAAATTTTTCTGCACTAGTTTCTTAATTACATCATATAAACCCCAATTTTGGAGTCAACAGACAAAATTTGAGTCAATTTTCAGTTTTTACTCAAAATTTTTTGCTATTTTTGTCCCAATCTTCTGAAAGATAAAGCAGACTATAAGAGGGACCATTTTGTGAATTTGTGATGAAAAGAGGCAACTGGTGGTGAAAAGGTTACTGTAAAATACTTTATTTTAGCTGGATTTAATTTTCGCTGAAAAGACTATTTGGGTGTTCTGCATGGAAGTTAATTTCACTTTATTTTTGACAAGTTGAATATAAAATATAGAAAAATAGGTATATTCACTGGACTTTATTTTCACTGAATCATTCCTTCAGTGAAAATAGCGAAAATTAATTCCAAGCAAAAATATTAGTATTTCACAGTAATCAGGACTATATGTAGGTACTTACTAAAACTTTGTGATCCCCAACAACACTCCTTATTTCATCAATGCATTTATTTTCTCTACTATCCATAGTATATGTGCCAGTACAACCAACAATGTTATATAGGAAGTTCCTAATCATCTTTTGTCCATTTTCTGTGAGATCCACTTCAGGATGAAACTGAACTCCGTACAGATTTTTTTTTTCATTGGCAATAGCTGCAAATCATAAAATTATTGAAGTTATCACATCCACA